CCTCTCCCTATTTAACAGGCGCCGCACCTCAGCAGTAGTGAATTGCCAGGAGTTGAACCCATGATCTGTTTATCAAAACTTGCATTTGTGTGTGCCATTCATCGACACGATAAGTCAGCCGAGGTATTCTGTCTCTCTAAACCCACTGACAGAGACAACCTGACGCCGGGCAGATTAGCAATGGATGGACCAGTCCGCTTAAAGCCTGAAACCCCCAGTACATCCGAAAAAGCAGATTGAGCCTCTTCTAAAATTTTGGAGGCCATGGACCGTAGATCAAATGAATCGGTGGTTCATGGCCTCCCCTTTTTTCTTAGGAGAAGCTCAATCTCCTTTTTCGGATCTACTGGTGGTTTAAGGACAGAATTGCAAGCAAGAAATCTTGCCTCCTTGGATCATCTTCCCTCCATCTCTCTGGATCAACCTCCCTGAACCATTATCCCTTTAATTTCCCTGAACCAACTGAGCAAGATGAACCGACCTACGGATGAGCATGGCTGCATCAGTCTCTGCACAGACAGAATTACAATCACCTTTGAGTGGATCTGTACACAAAACTGGAATTGAAAATTTGCATAGAAATAGTTGATGAAACCAGACGAAATGGATATGGAACTGAGCGCTGTGCTTCTGTGAGCAGTGTGCAACAGACGGCTCAAAAAGTACCCACCAGCGTGCCTAAGGCTGTCTGCTCTTTCTTCATTTTAAAAATTTTGTTTTGCAAAGTGCACTCTTTTAGTTGATAGATATGTGGCAATATAATAATATATAGTACGTATACATAGGATTACATACGGCATAGTACAGCTACATAGTACGTATGCATAGTATGTATACATATGCATAGTACGTATACATAGTACGTATGCATAGTATGTATACATAGTACAGATACATGTATGCATAGTACATAAGGCGACTTTTTTTTTTTTTTTTTTTTTTTTAGCATAGACTCTGGCTCCTTTCTATTATAAGGCGACATTTGTTCCCTGCCTGGGACGACAAAAGTAACAACTGTCCCTGGGTGAACGCACCTGGCCTTTGTGTCCATCAAGGTACAGCTCAATGTACGTCCTGTTTGCAATGGTCCAGGGACATTCATGCACAGCCATAAATGTTTATCAAACTTTATTTCAGTTTCCCATAGGGGTAGGAGGGCTTGGGGTTTTACAGGGGGTCTGACGATGTGTGTACTGACTATTTTGCTGGTAGGTCAGAGGTTTTTGGCAGGTGTGTATGTCGAAGAAGAAGAAGAAGACAGAAGACAGAAGAAGAAGAAGACGAAGAAGAAGACGAAGAAGAAGAAGAAGAAGAAGAAGAAGAAGAAGAAGAAGAAGAAGAAGAAGAAGAAGAAGGCTGGTTGAAGATGGCAGGCAGGGGGTATGGAATAGCAGCCGAGAAGAAGAAGGAGGGTGGTAAAAGATTGTGGGCAGCAGTCGAGAAAGATGGGCAACAAGAGGAGGAACAAGAAGAAGAGACGACGACGACGAAGAAGAAGAAGAAGAAGAAGAAGAAGAAGAAGAAGAAGAAGAAAAAGAAGAAGAAGAAGAAGAAGAAGAAGGGTGGTGGAGGATTTCAGGCTGGAGGTGAGAAACGGCAGGCAAGAAGAGGAGGATGAAGAAGAGGAAGAAGAAGACGAGGAAGAAGAAGAAGACGAGAAGAAGAAGAAGAAGTAGATGGGTGGTGGAAGATGTCAGGCAGGGGGTGAGAAACGGTGCGCGGGAATAAGAAGACAAGAAGAAGAAGAAGAAGAAGAAGAAGAAGAAGAAGAAACGGCGGGCGAAATAGGACAGGATGAAGAAGAAGAAGACAGGAGGACGACAACGACGACGACGTCAAAGAAGAAGAAGAAGAAGAAGAAGAAGAAGAAGAAGAAGAAGAAGAAGAAGAAGAAGAAGAAGATGGGCGGCGCCAGATGAAAGGCAGGGGGTCGCTACGGCGGCGGTGGGGCCACAGCTATTTCGACCTGCGGATTCCCAAAGACCTCTCTCTCTCTCTCTCTCTCTCTCTCTCTCTCTCTCTCTCTCTCTCTCTCTCTCTCTCTCTCTCTCTC